AGTTTCAGTTTTATTTTCTTATGGGTCATGCAAACTGATGCAATCTGAAGTATGTTGCAACAGAACGGTAGTAAGGTGTGATTTTGCGTAGGCACATGCTACATATTGCTAAAATATATGTATGCATAACATGTGTAGAGATTTTTCTTAACTTCACTGTAGGGGTTTAACCTGTTTTGATATTCCAAATGTATGGACTAATGGAATCATGGCATAATTGCTACTCTATGGAAATACTCGTTGATTGGAGTTAGTGAAAAGTCTTGACGTGTACTGTTTTCATCACTGTAATACATGCCATGTCATGAAATTATTTAAATATATGCTCTTATAAACCCGAAAATTAGGTTGTTCCATACGCCCTTTAGACAAGATCCGGATGCAACCTCTTCCCATGACCTTTTCAAGCTCCAGAACCGTGAGATCTAACCCTTGAGCTGGCTGCCAAGTTTAAAGGGTCAACAAGGACTTTGGCACTTGATCGTCAAAGAACGACAACGAAAGGAACTCCAAACCTCTCCCTTTAAATCCCAATGATGAATATATTCTTTCACCGTCCATACAATACAAAGTTTAACAAGGATGAGAAGTTCGATCGATATATGGATAAAACCAAGTGTATACATGGAGCTACATGTTGCTCTCCAAACAATCCATTTTATTTTCAAGCTTTTAGTATATTAAGCTTAATAGTCTTGAATTTCTTTGATAAAAAATCTTTACTTGTTTAAAGTTTTGAAATGATATTTTTCTAAAAAGATAATTAGTAATATCTACTTATATGAAAGAAATGGTTCATAATGTATAGATGAAAATATTGCAATAACGTTTTTGGCTAAATGGGCTTACTTACAATTTTTACATCTTACAGAAATCATCCAAGGATTGAAGAATGTTGATTTTTTCTTTTGCATATTTTATTACAAAATAAAAGAGACAATCTATTGCAAAAATTTCAAGAATTTTATTATTTAATTACATTAACTCCGGATTAGTCACACTAAATTTGGATATACATAGAGCAATGAGTATTGATTTGAGCAAACATGTGAATCATAATGAAAAACCATGTTTGTTAGGTACTATTTGATTGGACTAAATAACTTATCAAGTTAAAAAAATTATCATAGAAATAATGTATAAATTTTGATACTTGGATAGCAAGAGATATAAAAATTCGTTTTTGCTAACACTCTTGATCTGCATAAAATATATTTTGATGTTTTACAAAAATGGATTTTTGTTTTATATATATCACCAATTGAGATTTACACCGTTAATTTGGTTAAGATTCTTGAGTTCAATTACAAGCAAACAATAATTCACATAAGAGAGCAAAGTATATGTAATTTTTCCTATAGGCTACATCAACTGCAACACTCGATGATTTTACTATGAATATTCAACGCAACAAATCTGCTCGTCACACTAAGTAGTAAAGCCTATACCAACTTGTATTGAAAATCCTAAAGCCCGTTGAGCCAAAACCCTAAAACCAAGTTCAGCACCCATGACAGGGATTAACATTAACAATCTCACCCCTTAACATATGTTGGGGAAATAACAATCTCTTTAACCTATATAATTACTCTGTGAGAAATCTTAGAAGGAAATCCAATAAAGTTCACTGTTTAAACTACCTAAAACTAAGCAAAACATGATCGAGTAAAAATAAATAGAGCTAACTAAAATGATAGTACACTCTCTTTGTGCTATTCATGTAAAACATGCATAGTAGCATAATGTTTTCTAAAACTCTCCAAAGATAACTTTGGTAACAAATCAGTTGGATTAAATTTAACGTTAATCTTGACTAAGTCAATAATTCTATCAAAAATTGCGTGTGTATTAAGTTGATACTTGATATTGATGTGTTTCATTCTACTGTTCATCACTTGGTTTGCATGAAAATGTAATGCACTTTGATTATCAGAAAGAAGATTTTCAATCTTCTTTCTGATATGGTTTCAATCTCATATCAATGATAAGTCAATTAAATCAAATACTTTTTTTTTGCCGGTTCTGCAAGCAAAGAAAAGTATTTACTCAAAATACGTTCTAGATTGAGCTAAGTACTTTTGAAAGGTAGATCTTTGACTAATGCATCAACCACCAAGTTTAAACACATAACTAGTTATAGATTTTTTCTTATTTAGATTTTGTCCATAGTCAACATCAACGTAACATAGCAAGAGTTTGCCATTCTCTAATAAACCATCAAACAATAAACCATTAATACTTTTCAGTTATATGAAACTTCATTTCATTATATCTCAATGCAACTTTTTTGGATTTGACATGTATCTATTCACCTTGACCATCGTTAGAGCAATATCAAATGTTCTGCACACCATCAAATACATGAAGCTGCAAACAACTTTATCATAGGGAACACATGACATCTTTCACTCTCAAATACTTAACATTAAGCTGCAAAAAGTCTAAATGTGTTGTCAAAGATTGTACAATCTATCATGTTAAACAATTCAAGCACATATTTACTGGCCTTACTTAATCATATACTTTTCTGCACCAAATTTTTATGAATGTTCATCCATAATATCATTTTAGATTTACTTAAATCTTTCAATTTGAATTTAAAGTTCAACTGATTCTTGCATCTGTCATCGTCAAATTTATTCTTTGCCAAGATGATCATGTTATACATGAAGAACAATTGAATAATAAGATTGAAGACTTTATTATTCAACTTCTTCATGTTTAGACAAGGATCATACAAACCGTGAAAAACCTTATGATTTTATGAATTCATCAAATTTTGCATTCCACTATCTAGAAGTTTGCTTCAATGCATTTAATGATTTCAACAATCTACATCTCAACTTCTCTTGAACTTTCTTCTCAAAGTCAATTGATCATATCATGTAGTTTTAGTCATATAGAGAATTCAGAGAAAAATGCAATAGCTACATCTATTTGATCCATGACCAAACTATACATTGCAGCAAGTACACACACTAGGCAAATTGTGGTATACTTTACCACAAGTGAGAATAGTTCATTTTAATCCACAACTTGTGAATAGCACAAAATGCGTAATTCACTTTTGTTTGCTCCATCTGCGGACCATGTGAGTTGAGCTAACTATGGATAATTAGTAGTGAAAATGTGATATCACAAGGATTGGAACAAAAAATATAATGAATGAATTATTAGATCATGAGTGATCTCAGTGTCATTAGATTTGATGAGAAAACAATATGAACCAGATTATAATTTATCAGTACTTGATCCATCATTTCTAATTATGAATTCTATTCATAAATCTTTTGAAATGAAATCCTTTTGATATACTCTTGTAAGTTGAAGTTTGTCCATATTGTTTCTTATTGCTTTGTCCGACGCCTTTCCTATCTATATATGTTGAACTGAAAAGAGTTTATATCTTTGCAATAGCGCCAGGGCTTGTTCATGTATAATTTTTATAAATTATGAAAGTCACATAAAATACCACTAGGACTTAAAATGCATATGTAGTCAGTGGTCATAGATGCATTGTACTGTCAAAGAAATAAGAGAGAAATATTAAAAACAAAACTTCCCTTTTCCTGAAGCAAAAGTCTAATATCTCCTCATCCCTCGAATCTTCAGATCCACTGGATCGAGGAAATATATCTATGGATTCTGCAATGATGAAGATATGAAACATGCAAGGGATTAGATTTTTTTCCACAGTAGAAAAGTTTATCATATGCAATTCCAACGAAGCACAAAACTCAATGCACGCTACAAGTGAAACTCCTGATTATATGTACCGCCGTAGGCCTATTTGGTAGATCCAACTTCTCAAAAAGCAGACTTCAGATGTAAGATGAAACAATTTATATTAGACTGAATAGTTTCTTTCAATAGGAGAATCATTGGGTTCCTCAAGCCCCACAGTTTTCACTCAGCTCCTCCATTTACCAACAGGTAAATGTTAATCACACCTGCACGTTGTCAGTCTAAGTGTCTACACAACCTGAAGTCACCTGTCTAGACAATATTTTACGTTACGAATTGGCAACATGCACAATTGGAGGGTACTTAGTGTACACCATCGTGATCGGTTTACTTACAAGTGAATTGGACATGGCATCCAGTAGCTATTCCTAGACCCCTGCATATCGCCCGCTCATGTCCCATTGACATGGAAGAGAGTTTCGATGAGACCCGGTTATAGAGAGTGGTGTTTAGTTTAGGCCTTTTCGGCGCCGTTTGCAAATATTTGTCGCCTGACCGAGCGCGACGTCGCGGTGACGAATATAGTTGTGAGCGGAATATGGCATCGACGCCGTTTCGAAGCCGCGTGCTCAATGGCCACGGCGGAAGGCCCTAAGTTGCATAAGAGAGCATAAGTCGCGGGCAGCGGAACTTAGATCGGGCAGCCGGCGGCACTTTCCATGTATGCCCGAAATTCGCGATTCCAGTTTTGTGTCGCAGTGCGAGGCGGTCACGATGTACACTGGTCTCATGATTCGAGATCCTTCCGAGCACCACTTGTCAGCATTGCAAGGCCCATCGCCCGCATGCGACTGCTGGGCGGAAGAGCTACTAGCGGTAGCAGGTCCTTCAGCCCGGGAAAAGAAATTGAAGAAATGCCCGCAGCTCCCGGGTGCGGACCTTTTACCGCTGGTTAAATTTAACACATGTGGCCCCAAGACGGTCAGGAACGAGGCCCGGACCGGGCACTCCGACCAGGAGAGAATGAAGGAGTAGATGAGTGGCTGGCGCGTGTCCTTCCGAAGCCCGAGTGGGGCCCACCCTGCTTCCCCGTTGAGGAATCTCTTCTGGCGCGTGCGGAGGGATCGTTCGTTCCGTCCAGGGACAGATGCGGCGCTTGAGCCCCCCTCCCTGGGCTCCCGTGACTGACCGGAGGGACTATCCTCTGCTAGGCCCGAGATTGCGGGGCAGAGCGGGACAGCGGCGGACTGGGGGGGCGACTGTGGTCAAGGGAGTCGAGGCCGGAGCAAGATAAATGCGCCATTAGGAGCCCTCACAGGCTCATTCTGAGAAACTGTGCAACAAGCCCCAGCCGAGTTGATGTGCAGCAGCTCCTCCTCCTCTTCTCGATCGCCAAGCTCGCTCACCTTCTTCGCTCCAAGCTCAGCTCTCCTCTCCTTCGCCTTGACGACGACCGATCGTCAGTCCTCGGCTCGTCGATCTGCAGGTGGTGGTGGAGGCTCTCGAATTGATCCATGTTCTGTGGGTTTCCAGCGTTGACCAACTGATTGACCGAGTGACTGCGCTGCCCAGAGATTCTCCGAGCGTGTCGCTATCTGAGGCCTGACGTGCTGTAGTAGTGGTGTTGGTGTTGGTGGAGGTAGGAGTAGCAGCAGCAGCAGTTCGAAGCTTCGGGCGTCGACTTGCATGAAACGTAGTGGTAGTAGTAATATTCCGACCCCTCGAATTGTAACGTGTTGTGATCTGCGAAGAGGTGCGCGCAGCATCGTCGTCGACGTCGTCACCCTCGGCCGAGCAGAAGGGCGCTAGGCCTCAGAGAGAAGGGAGGGGTTTAGATCGGCGAATCCGTCTCAGGGAAGGAGAAGAGCGGTTGGATTATGTCTCTGGTGTGCTTCCCATTCAAGGAGGAAGATGTCGCAGTAGTCGTACGTAATCTGGAGTGCGCTGCTTCGCATCCCTCGGTGACGGGCATCCTGTGCGTGGGCTTCAGCCGCGGCGAGACATGGTTCGCCATTGAGGGCGCCAAGGCCAGCATCGAGAAATCCTGCAACGTACGCGTGCACCTGCTGCTGCAGAAGAGGATCGGCTTGGCGCTGCGGGGCGGCAAGGGCGACGGCATGAACACGGCGCTGGGCTACTTCCTCGAGCACCCGGAGTTCACGCGGCTGCACTTCTACGACGCGGACATCGTCTCGTTCAGCGCCGAGTGGATCAGCAAGGCCGAGAAGCAGGCGGATCTGGGCTTCGATGTGGTGCGCCACTACTTCCCCCGGTCCAGCACCGACGCCATGATCACGTGGTTCGTGACGAAAATTGGCTTCGCCCTGCTGTGGCCCAACACCGTGCTGCCCGTGATCGAGCAGCCTCTGGGCGGCGAGCTGCTTCTGACGCGCAAGGCGGCCGAGGTTCTGTACTCGGATCAGCGCGTTCGCGCGCAGAGCGACTGGGGCATCGACACGCTCTACACCTTCGTGTCGGCGCAGCAGGGCCTGAGCTTGGCCGAGGTCTACATTCCCGAGGGCAAGGTGCACGCGCTCTATGGCGGGCTCAGGGACCTGCGCACCATGCTGGTCGAATGCTTCTCGGCGATTCAGTCGCTCAAGCGCGAGGCGGTGCCGGCTGACGGCGTGCACCGCATGGAGTCGGCCAAGGCCGTGCCGGAGCTCGTCAAGCAGAAGGTGGGCTATGACATCGAGAAGACTCTGAAGCTGCTGGCCAAGCAGACGTGGTCGCAGGGCCAGCGCGAGCTGCTCAACCAGCACTTCGATCCGGCCCTTGCCAAAGGGCTGCAGAACGCGAGCGAGTGGCCGTGCTGGGGCTTCGCCGACGAGGAGGCCTGGATCGGCGCCTACCAGAAGTTCCTCGAGCACTTCGAGAAGGGCAATCCCGACTGGGAGGAGCTGCTCTTCAAGGTCTGGGTGGCGCGGGTCGTGAATCACACCATGCGCAATGTGATGCGCGGCTACGATTGCGCCATGGGCACCCTGCGCGACTTCCTCTGGGACACGATTCAGAAGTCGACCCTGCAGCAGCAGCAGACGAAGCTGTCGTCGTCCGGCGCCGTCCACTCTCTGTACTCGGGGCACAGCGCGGCCGAGAGCCTGGCCAATGGGCAAGGCAAGATCCGCAAGAAGGCCAAGTGGTCCACGGACACCATGTGCGCGGTACAGCAGTAGTAATGCGCCGACGACACCAGGGCTCCTACGTCCGGACCTTTGCATGGAGTCTTCACGAATCACGGCCCGACCTTCATCTCACAAGCATGCGCTGTTCATTGTAGACCGAGGGGCGCGCACCATCGTCTGTCTCCCAAGCTGTCACATTTTGCCCGACCGTGCTCGGCCCCTCGTAGAAGCGTCCAGCCCACTCGGTTCACAAGTTCCTCCCGAGAGCGAACTGTATCCAGGCTTGGCACTCGTCTCCTCGTCCAGGGATGTCGAACAAGCGCCTCGTCGAGCTCAGGTTCTCATATCTCTCCTGAATTTCCATCGTCAGGGAGGACGTAGAGCAGGTCTCACTGGTCAACTCATCTACGCGGGTCTCATTATTCTTCAGGTGGGCTGTGGAGGTCTGCCTTCGGCCGTCTCGAGAATCAGCGTGGCATAGCGTCACGTGATCGGGAGAGGAGGCTTTTGTCACGAAGGCAGCGAAACGCCGCCCAGCTCTTTGTACCATACAAGCACGTCAGCTTCACGACTAGGAAAAAACTCCGGCCTGCTTTGGGCGATTTGTACTCTGCTGATCACGCCTGCTGCTACACTCACGGTATCGATCAGTCAGTCTCGAGATATGCGGTGAGAACCCTGTCCACCTCCTGGTACACCATCGGCCAGCATATCTGGGCGTGCAGACAGAGCGGTGTGTTTGGTTTATAACTTATCAACATGCGCACGCGCGTGTTCATCATAGATCGTCGTAGGAGTAGGAGTGATACAGCTCTCGGATCAGAGCATGCCACCTTTTAGATGCAATCGGCTGGCAGGTGGACTTGTGGATCAGGTTAGACGCCATCAGCTTTCAAGTTAACGTCGAAATCATGTGTAATATGTAGAATAATATGCTCACCTCAGAAGTTGGTAGATAGCAGTTGTGAACCGAGGCTGATTATACTGAAAGCAGTCAAACTAATGGAATTGTGGGGAAGTTTGGACATCCGCTCTCGGCTCTTCGCCCGATCGTGCCATCGTTTGAATTGTCGTGGATTTGAATTGTCTGAATTGTGCGTGAGCATGGCCGTCCTTGAGTGTCTTCGAGCGAGGGATTCGAGCCGCAAACGGCGATCGCGCAGGTTCTAGATTTCTCTGGCGGACGAGTGATTGGACAAGGTCTGTGTGCAGATCATGGCGGAGTAAGTTCACGTTCTTCCTTCCGGTAACTCTCAAAGCTCATCTTTACCATCCATTACCTTCCTTTACTGCGAGCGACTTTCGCATCAGATTCGGTCTGTCTCGTAGCTATAACTCGAGCAGCTCGGCACCACCCGTTCAGTCAGGAAGAATCTCCTCGTGCACAGTGGCGGAAACAGGGTACGGTATAGAATGAGACTCTGGCTTTTCGGGGATGACGGTGCGAGGCTTCGACCTGGTCCATTCGGATGCTGGGGTCACGCCACCGTTGCGCGCAGCGAGCCGATACAAAGCTCGGCGCGGAACGGGCTCAGGTTTTGAGTTGAAATGTTCGCGCAGACGGTTGATGAGTCGCCTGTCGACTGACCATGTCGGCTGTAACGGCGGCCCGCGGCAAATTAGAATGCAAGGTTGCAGCATGCTCGTGCGCTGTCGCAGCTCGTGTTCGATTTGGCATCTACTGACTCGCAGCGAGTCGGATGGATTCGAAGGCCGTGCTGAGAATGTTGAAGAAGGATAGAGAAGAGTTTCTAAGCGGGTTGGAAGAAAGTTGCAATGAATTCGCCATGAGTCATGCGCACGAAGGATAGGGAAACTACATTTTCGAGGAAGAACGACAGATACGAACGCTGGGATGCAGACCCTCCTCACTTTTCGCAGGTGTGAAAAGTAAGATCGTTAATTTCTCAATTGTGTACACTAGAGTCCATGACTGTTTGCAGCTGCGAATCGGTGTGTACAAGATCTCCATGATGATGATGTAAGGGTTGAATCACAAGTTCCCTGCAATGGCGCATGCATGTGTGGCGCAATCCAGCGACGGACTCACGAAGAGAAACGAGATCCCTCACAATCCTCAGAAGTGATCGGTCGTCAGAGCGCAGGCTGTGCCGGATGTGCATGGGGTTCGAATTTCGAATCCACCGCACAGTTACAGAGACGTTCAGACCGAGGACGGCTAGCAACGCCTTCACGACTACGGGCTGCCGTACCGCACAGTGCTTGACTCGAATCGACCGACGAGGGTTTAAGGCGCAGCTGATTCAACGATACCGACATAGATCTGATAGTGATGCTCTCTTCACATGGAGACTGTACTTTCTTTCTCTGCGAGTCTGCGCTGCTCGACGGAGCTTGCCAGGAATTCACATAGATCTGATAGTGATGCTCTCTTCACATGGAGACTGTACTTTCTTTCTCTGCGAGTCTGCGCTGCTCGACGGAGCTTGCCAGGAATTCACGTGTCCTTGTCACCGGAGAGTGGTGGTAAGTGGAATTGGTTCAGTCAAGAGTCGAAATCTGTGGCTTGAAATTATTCATACAAAATTGATCCTGCGTCACTGTCGCATGGAGGTTGGTAGAACGTTCTATCGTCTGGGTTTAGTTATTTGTTGATGTCCAACGTCAAGGAGTGTGACCGAGCTAGAGACCTGTTCACAGCTGAGCCGAGTCATTGTGGGTTGTGGGCTCAGTAAGAGCAATGTTGTCTCGACTGCTCCATCTGTTCGTCACATTCTCCACACAATTCGACCTCGATTTATAAAACTCCTGGACAAGAACTCGCACGCATTGTTTTCTCAATGTTCTACAACTCTGAAGAGCTTCAAAGTCCACGACAGTAACTTGCGCCTGAAGACCAGGGAGCTTCGGCAATTGGACTCGCTCCTTCGTGATAGGAATCTTCCAGCTGCCTTGTCCTCAGCACACTACAAGTGGTTCCTCCCACCCCGTGACCAGTGAATGGTCGGAAGATTGAGCAGACTCGGCCTCCTCTCCCTCATGCCAAACTTCTGCTTTGTACTGTGCTCTGCGTGCGTAAACGCTGTGCGGCTGTAAAACTTCCTTGACAACGAACTTCATTCTTTGGAAATTCCAATCATCGATTTATCATGCACTCAGACAAAAGTATGTGAAGATCCCCATGAAAATTCATACAATAAGTACATGGACAGCAGAGTAAGTACAATCTACGCCAACATTTTCAGACAAACAAGTTAGTAGCTGTAGCCCTCCGGTCTTTGTCGGACGGTTCCAGTGAACTCCCAACGAAAAGTCATTGTTGCAGAACAGAGAAACGAATCTCAAAAAGCATACGGAGAGGTTGAGAAGAACCTCTGACTCCATCGGGCACAGCAAAGATGTGCAGAGAGAGAAAAAAAAGAGAGAAAAAGAGGACTGCGAGGCGAGTTTAAAGATGTATGAAGCACTCAGTCGCTTGGATCAGGATAACTCGAATACACAATTCATAACATCTAGCATCAGAAAATCAGGATGTTTCAGTTCACGGTGTGTGCGGAGCGAATTCGAGTATAAAACTCGCGATATATTCACGAAGTTATATAATTTGGCAGCTTGGAACTATTCAGGTCGTTCTGGATCATCGACGTAAGTTGACTGGTGCAGATGATGCTCTTTTTTGCAATTTGCACTTGCGATTTCGTGGAGCGGTTCTCAAAGGCCTTGAACATGCGGTGGTTCTTCCAAAAGTTTTGATCAGTGCACCAAATTCTTGTTCACTTTCAACGATCCGTTGAGAGAAGAAGGTCCACAATGCCGACTGCACAGCAATACTGTATTGTATCTTATGACGAATGAAGCAGTAGACGAAATATATCAATATTTAGCGCATCGAGTATATTTAAATCGCGTATATCTAATGTCATTATACGCTGATACATGTTTACTGTTTCTGAACAGAAATTTTTTGAACTAGAAAATAAAAAATGAGAACACTAGAAAAATGACCTGAACTCTTCCTTCAACGACAAACGTTCAATCTACAAATTCCACAAGCTTCATATATTCCACAATCCTAGCTGCAAACAATTAATTTTATTAAACAACGATGAGGACTTAAGAAGACTCTAGAACTGGGGCAGTCTTTCAGGTTCCCAAACGTTGCCCCAGTCATCTGCATTTCAGGAATAGAACTACTTGTAGAAGCTAGCAACTCACACGGTGGGCTTAGAGAGCTTCTCTTCCGCTATTCGTAGGAAGGAGGCGACTGTGAAGTACAACACGTGTGTTCATTTCCTTCCTTATCTTGAAGGTACTCCGGTCGAGCCAACAGTTTCGAGAAGTTTGTGTGACACTCGTTTGTTGTTTTGCACCATAATTGAGCATCTAGTCTTGCATGGATTAGAGCACTGGACCAAAAACTGGTAAAATTAGCTCCAATTAAATTAAGCCCTTAATCCGCATTACTCGTTCAACTCTAGCACACCTGGTGCCAACAAAAGGAACATTGCATTTGAAACCGGTACTTATTTTGGGATCAGCACTTATTCCGTACTTCTTTCAATATCAACAACTACCGCAAGTCACGACGTGATGCAAATGAAGCTATTATCATGATATAGTAGCTTCATTTGCATCACGTCGTGACACTAACCTCGTGACTACTCCACGTGATGCAAATGAAGCTACTATATTATGATAAGAATTCAATAGAAATTTAAAGAAACCCGGCGAGAGAAAAAGAGAGTACTTTAAATTTTCACGCCTTGAACATTATAATTTTACAAATTCAGAAGAACGGCATTGAACACATCCGACCGACAAACCTCTTGTGCAATACGTACTCCATATATCTACCTTCCTAAACCGGTCACATTTGCAGAGAATGGCGGAGATTGCAGATTGGGGCATGTAAAGAACACGACAGACTATATAAAAGTGACATGACCATCAAATTTGATACCGAAGTGTTAAAATTTCACGTTCAGATTCTGCAAATTCCACCTCACTTTTTCACAAATGATTGCTATTTAGCGCGTTTATGCAGGTTATGTGAATAACCTCTACATACTGCGAACGATTTTAGAATCTACCACACTACGTGATTATATCTCAATAACTTGAAAATCTTCAGATTTCATGTCAATTTCAGTAATCATTTGTAGTAGAACTTTATCAGTAATGGTATTTTCTTTCTAAAATATGCAAGATGAACTCGTTTTTTACACTATCAACGCTTGAACTAACAAGCAAAATTAATCAAAAAAAATATATCTTTATTCAATTCATGTCTTGAGTATATTTAGAATTATCATTACTCAACTTCCTATTAAAATTTTTCATAAAAGTGTTATGTTATATATGATCATCATTATAACTTTTTTTTTATCAAAAAATGAATTTTAATGATAAAATATTTTTTGTGAATTTATGTATTTTTAATGAAAGAGAATTATTTGTTTAAGTCAATTAGTTGTAAATTTGATATGATGAAAATCCTAGTATTTCAAGTATCATGTTTTTTAAGATTAACCACTATAAGAAGACTTTCAATGACTACTGTGGAAATCTATATCAAGCTGATGGACCATAGGTTATAACCTATGGTCCATCAGCTTGATATAGTCTTTTATAGTCTTGGTCTTTTTAAGCAAGCGAGATCTAGCTCTCTGCCTCAAACACTGTTAAAATTTTCCGACTGAAATTTAATATTGCAGAAAAACAATACATTAGTACAGTTGAAACTCAATAAATTGAAAAATCAATCCTTGTCAACTTTAAAATTCAATTTTGATGTGGAGCATTGCATATTTGTTCCTCTGTCATCCAAAGACTTTATTATAAGCTGCAAATGAAAAAATTGAAACAAGTGAATCAAGAGTGGTGGAAGATAGTCTAAAAATGTGTCACCGAGTGAAAAAGAAGAATTTTTTACTTCAACGATACAAGGTACAACTTCAAAAGTTCAACATAATGAGATAGCAACCGTTAAGTCTAGTGAGGCAAGATACAATAGTGGAGCAAAATACTACATACGTGATGATTATTTGCTCTAGGAAAGACACGTG